ATATGACGAGGGGATGTTTTTTTCTGATCCAGTCTATTCGGTGTTCTGTATGCTTCTTGAACCTTCATAGGAATATCGTTCTTTAGGATGGGAAAGTTTTCTTCTATAATTTTGTTGAGTATATTTTCTGGACCTTTGAAATGCAATTCTTCTCCTTCTTCTACTCCTATTATTCTTAGATTTGGTTTTTTTATTGTGTCCCACAGTTCCTGAATGTTTTGTGATGAGAATTTGTTGGATTTGCTGTTTTCTTTGGACAGAGTGTTTAATTTCTCTATGGTGTCCTCAGAGTCTGAGATTCTTTCTTCTATCTCTTGTATTCTATTGGTTAAGCTTGTTTCTGAAGTCTCTGTTCGTTTACCCAGATTTTCCATAGCCAGCCGGCCCTCGGTTTGTGATTTCTTCATTGACTCCATTTCAGTTTTCAAATCTTGAACTGTTTCTATTACCTGTTTGATTGTTTTTTCTTGGTTTCCCAGAATTTCATTTACGGATTTACTCATTTCTTCAAACTTTTTGGTATATTTCTCTTCCATTTCTTTACTCATTTCCTCAATTTTTTTGTTATACTTATCTTCCATTTCTTTACGGCAGATTTTCACCTCCTGTTTAATTTCCTCTATTATTTTCATAAAGAAGCGCTTAGAGTCAATTTCTTCTATTTCTTCTGGTGTAGGGTGTTCAATTCTTCTAGTTTCGAGCTCCCTGGATTCTGGCGGTGTCATGTTGCCTTTCAGGTTGTTGGAGGAATTCTTGCATTGGCGCCTGCCCATCTCTTCCACTCTGGATGAAACTCCTCAGCACTTTCTGGATAAACTCCTCAGCACTCTCTGGGTAGGACTTCACAGCACTCTCTGGATAGAGCTCCTCAGCCCTCTCTGGGAAGAACTGCTCAGCAGGGCAACAGGGCTAGCTGGTCTTCCCAGGCCTCAGGAGACAAAGGGCCCGCAGCAGTGGGGGGAGGGGAGGGGTCCCTTGGAACACCGAAGACCCTGCCGCAGAAGCTGAGGCAGGGAGGGCTGTGCTCCCTTCCCAGACAGGCAGGCAGGCTGCCCAGGCTAGCACCCACTCACCTCTCTGGGAAGAACTGCTCAGCAGGGCAACAGGGCTAGCTGGTCTTCCCAGGACTCAGGAGACCTGTCATATTTTTTCTTACAGAAAATGAAGATGCTTTCTTTTAGATGAATGTCTCAAATATGTGAATTTTTGTCTGATTTCTAAATTCCATATTTTTAAGACACCTTCTCTTTGAAAATTTTACCTCTGTATACACTGTATCAGACATGGCTTCATTTCTGTGCAATAGGTCTCAAATCCAATGAAGAGAGTGGTTATTTATCCTCGTAAACAATACTGTCACTATTGTGTTAGTGTGCACATTGCCACTGGGTTGGTATTATGACATACCGGGTTAGTGTTGAATGAGATTATTGATGTCCTTTCGCACTCAGTAACCACCATAGCACCTTCTAGCACTATGGAATATAGACAGTAGGGAGAATTTATTGGCCAGTTTAAGAGTAATTTCTTTGTGCCTTTCTACCCAAATGTGTGGCATGTTCGGCATTACTTCCTTTTATCTACTTCTGGTTGACAAAAAGGAGCAGCAGTAATACCTAGCTTGACTTTGGATTCCTCTGAGGCCTTTCTGGCCAGCCACTCTTAGGAAGGTAGCTTGTGCCTGGCTGTGAGATTTCTGCCTAGGAAACAAGGCATCTGAGTGCAGCGCAGCGTTACTCATGTTTGTGGGAAACCTAGCTCAAAATTCCTCTTCAAAATGTACTTTTAACTAGCTTGCAAAATATTGGAGTTTATTAAAGGTATTTCACAATCTGTAGTTTGGGTATTGAAATGTCACTAACATACGTTGAGACAGTGCCCCTTCTCTTTTCCTCTCCAGTCCTTTTTCCTCTCTGTCTCTCATCGTGACTACAGATACTTTTGGTTTAAAATATTCTGAAGCATCATTTGCCTACTGAAAATGCCTGAATCCTCTTCCCCAGTCTTTGATTTTACCTCTGTCCTAATGGCTTGTTTTATGACAGTTTCTTGGTTTGATCTTTCTTTAGATGCTGCTTTCTACTGGTAACAACTTTCATTTGGTTGAGAGCAAATTTTAACCTTATCTTTCTTCTCATTTTCCCATTTATGTTTATGAACTCCCCAGCTTCTTTTAGAGCCCATTTTGTCATCTTGTCATGACTTTCCAAATGAAGCTCTCATTACTAACATTTTGCCAGACAATTTTCTGTTGAAAATAAAACCAGCTTCTATTAGATGCATTGGCAACAGCTTCCTAGTGAAATGATAAATTTATCCAAAGTTTCATATGTATATTTTATATGCAGTTTTTCAGCTTTCTGGAAGGACTTCCTAATCACATTGAACTTTCTTACCATTTTATCTGTTGCATCTTTCAAATTTTATCAAAACATCACTATGAAACATGTCATTCAGTAAAGGGTGATTGCTCACCCCAGTAATCTCCATACTCAAGATATGGAAGCAGAGGGCTTGGAGTTCAACGCCAACTGTGGCTGCATCCTGATCTTGTGGAAGCCTGACTTAAAGTGAGCCTGATTCAAAACAGTTAATAAATATCTCATGGAACACTTTAAATAATGAATATTTATTATTCCATTCATTAGTGTGGATGTTGGCTGAGCCTCCACAATGTGCCTGTTGTATTATTGGACTCTGCTAGAATTGGTTTAGCTTGTGTCGGAAGTCCTGAGTTACAATTTAGCTGAAATGGATTAGTGTATGCCCAACCTGTTCACCACTCTCTATCCAGAGACTGAGAGTTTTCTGTCAGTGATGAAAATCAAACTTTCTTACATTCTGGCATCATTACTTGTGAAACTCATGGCTCCAAACGAGTTAAGCACAAAGCAATAGCGATGTCTCCAGAGAATGTTTTCCACATTGGATTCATTCTCTCAATAGTGCACTACTTTATATTTTTTGTCTTAGTAATGACATGTAGCTTGAGGTGCTTCTGGCTTAGAATAGTCACAAACATTACTCGTTTTTCCCTGAATAACTTATGACGTAGAAATAATTGTCATATATTACTTCTAAAAATCTGGTTTTATTCATTGTTTAAAGGAATGTTTTCTTGAAAAAACATACATTTTATACATTAGTTTGCTTAGAAGGGCTTGTAACTAGCTAATCTTTAAGTTCCTCAGACAATTTCAATGGTACATTGATTATTAATATTTGAATATATTTTTATTAAATTATTTAAAATATTGCCATTGAAAGACCTGGATAAATCCAGATCCCACTAGCAGGAAAACAGAGCCAAAAATCTAGCAGGAAGAGAAGAATCAGAAATCTAGGATTAACCAATTTCAGGGTTTCAGGAACTAGCTGAAGATAAAGGTAGATTGTAATCTTGAGAGTAATCTTGAGAAACAGAGAGATTCCCCCTAGTAATTATCACCCCCTAGTAATTATCACTAGAACAGGAACTAGCTGATTAATGATCTTGAGAGGCAGGGAGTTGCCCCTTTGTAATCATCACTGGACACCCTCCCTGCCCCCCTTTTCGGATTACTGGACTGTGTGGTTTCTTCCTATAAAAACTACTTCTCCTGGTCACTCGAGGTCGAACTCTTCCCCTGCATGGGTTATGAGTCTCGGCCCCAGTGCACTGGTTCCCGTCTTGTCTTGTCGTCTTGTCATTAAACCTCGTGTGATTGCAGCAAGGACGGTCTCTCGTGAGTTACTGGGGGGGGGGGTCGCGTCATCCCGAGGCTCGAGTGAGAGTCTCCCCGAATCGAGGGTCTTTCACCATAAATGGCAAGTACAAGTACATACCATATTTCTTAGATTTCTAATTACAAAATAATTTTTAAAAACACATTTCTATTTTTAATTGAATTAAATGCTTTTTCCTCGCATACAATATCCTTATTATGATTATGAATTCCCGTTCCTCTACTCCCAGTTCCTTTCCACCTCTCCTCCCATCCAGAACCACTTTTTTTTTCTATTTGTTTATTTTTTAAAAAACTATCTTTTGTCTTTTTCTCATTTTACATACCAATCCCAATTCCCATTCTCACCCCTCCTCCATTCCCTCCAACTTTCCCCTTCACCCCAGGCCCAGTCCAATTCTCAGAGAAGGTTGACTCCATGGGGAGTCAACAATGTCTAGCACATTGATTTGAGGGGGGATGGTGGAGAACTTGAGGGAATGGATTAGTCGAGATGGAGGAAGGGCAGAGATGAGAGCAAGGAAAGAGATATTTTGATCAAGGAAGCCATTATGGGGTTAGCAAGAAACCTGGCACTAGAGAAATTCCAAGAATCCACAAGGATGATCCCAGGTAAGACCCTAAGCAATAGTGGAGAGGGTGCCTGGACTGGGCTTGCCCTGTATTCAGATTGATGGTTATCTTAATTGTCATGATACAACCTTCATCCAGCAACTGATGGAAGCAGAGGCAGAGGCAGTGATCCACAGCTGAGCACTTGAGCTGAGCTCCCAAAGTCTATTTGAAGAGTGGGAGGAGTGAGAATAGGAGCAAAGAATCTCTTCCTTTCTGTCTCTTTAGAAAGCAGTTTACTTCCACTTCCTAGGGTGAGGGGGACCCATGTATATTCCTCTAACCTCCTGGCCTCACCATCTCTGAGGATGGAACTGGAGGTGGGTGGGGAGGAGGGAGACTGGGGAGAAAGTAAAGGGAATCAGGAGGAAGGAAGGGAGAGGGAGCTGGAATTGGTATGTAAAATAAGATTGTTTTAAAAATAAAAAGAAAAGAAAGAAAACAGTCACACTACAGACAAGGAAGCAGGTAGTTTAGCAGCAGATTGCTTCTGTTCTAAATGTATTCTCCCCCCCCACCCCACCCCCGTCTCATCCCAAACTCTATAATAAAAGACCTACTAAACTGCCTGTTCCCTTTTCATCACCATCTCTGGAGGATACCACAGTCCTATTCCTATGTCCCCTGCTAGCATTGATTTGTCCTGGCTTCCATCTCTTGCAGGCACTCCTTGGGGACACACAGGCCTCTCCTGTCAGAGAAGCAGGTAGGCTGACAGCAGATTCTCACTCTCTCTATTCCTCCAAATTCAATCTTCTAGTCTCATCAACATGAGCAATAACAAAATAAAAATATAAAGATAAAACTGTATATAATGGCTGCCTATGGTTCTCAGTATTTACTTCCTTCTCCTTCAGGAGGAAACTTCTTTGATGGTAGTTGACCTAGGCACTGATCATACTTGTCTTATTGTATTAGTAATAAAAGTTTATAGTTACTGTACTTTAAAATTTTAGCCCATAATCATAGAAAAAGTGTGTAGAAAGTATAAAATATACATGCAGTCAAATTAAATACATGTGATACTACACAGTATATTAAAAATAATGATTAATTTTAAGTATTTATCAATTTGGAGAAAAAATTATACTTTGCTGAGTTTTCTTTATCTCTATAGAGAAAAATACTGCAATATTGCCAAAATAGCCTAGGTTTATTTTCCTGGTATACTGAAATATATATTGTTTAAAAAATATAAGATGTGCAAAATAATGTTTTAATATTTATTCATGTGTGTAATGGTTCATATGATTAAAATGAATAAAATAGGCCAAATTTAGAATGATTAGAATAACTTAATGTATAATAACATACTTTACTTTATAATTTGTTTGCATTTCTTATAGTATTGACTATACATTTAAGTTTCTGTTTTGATATCGCTAATGCTATTAAGACTAATAGTATTAATAACTTTTATTAAGGTTACTCTTAATTAAAACTCAAAAAGACAGATCACTTATCATAAGTTACTATGGGTTATTATCTAATTGCCTGAATTAAAAGTATTCAGTATATTTTTTAACTCACTCAAATGTTCAAAAAATTAACCAATTATTAATATTTATTGATATTTATGTAGAAAGTGATTAACAAATCATTATAACAAAACTGAATAATCAAACTCGATCTACCCCACATTCTTGTATGAGTGTTAGTTCATACTCTCACAACAAATCCTTGGTTCTCTCATGAAATAAAATAACTTCTCTCCTTCTCTCTCTGTTTCTTTTTTAATTATTATTATTATTATTATTAAAAATTTTCACCTCCCCCCTCCTCCCATTTCCTTCTCCCTCCCTCCACTCCCCGTCCCTCTCCCTCTTGTCACACACACACACACACACACACACACACACACACACACACGATATCTATTCATTCTACAAATTGCAGGGAACAGACTTTCAAAGAACCCTGAAGCATGAATATATCTTAAAACACTTTTTGCTAATAAAGGTACATGTCATATCTTAATATATATAAACATTCACTTCTGTGTAATAATTTCATTGATTTTAAGGAAATCCAAGGCAAAACTACTCAAAATTCCTTCTATATTTAAAAAATGTGTGTCACAGCCAACTTACCGAACACATACAAATATTCATGACCTTAGGATACTACTTCTGATTTTGCATGATAACAGCTTTACGTTCCATTTTTATATACATCATTTCTTATATGTTATAAAGCATGGAATTATTAAGGATGTCCTTCTGTATAGGTGTTTCTTTTATTGACTAATGAACAAAGCTGTTTCAGATAATGGCTCAGCAGAGTAAAGCCATGTGGGATATCCTATCACAGAGAGAATAAGCACAGTCAGAAAAACACCATGCAGCTGCCAAGGAGAAAGATGCCTGCCAGAACCTTACTGGTAAGCCACAGTATCATGGTGATACACAGATTAATAGAAATGAGTCAAATTAAGAAACAAGAGTTAGTTAATAAGAATCCTGAACTAATAGGTTAAACAGTGCTGTAATTAATACAGTTTCTTTATGATTATTTGGGTTTGGGAGGATGGGTGCAAACAAGCAGTTTCTGATTACAATGGAGCATATCTTAATCTTGATACTTTTTGTGTTAACACCATAGGATAAATAGAAAATGAGATCTTGAGGTTTTCAGAAAAGAAAATGTCTTCAATCATTCTAGCTAGAAGCAAAATTATTGAGTAAAAATAAGACAATCAAAAGACATTTTAGGAACTATCTTTGACAGAAAGCAAATTGTTATAGAATAAATAAAAAATATTAAGGAAGAATCTAAAACTTAATTAAGAAAGTAATGAAATCCTGAACTTCCAACATTGTGATGCTGGTTGAAATTTGAAACTAATAGGCATCTGCTCAATTGTTAAATTCTCATATAGTTTTTACAATAAATAGGTTGCCAAATAATTAAATAAACTCAACTGTACAGGGACATGTAGCAGGGAAGACCCACTTGTTCATTCCAGTTGCCAAGGCAGTTTTTTTATTCATTAACCAATGAAAGCAACACACAGACAAAAGGAGCTCCTACACCATGGATATTTGCCTAAATATTAATGAAGAAATTGTTATTGCTAGGCAATACTTCAAATGACTGAACCATGTTTGTTTTTTCTAAATATGCTTGATTTTAAATTATGTTCAAAAATTGCAAACCATAAATTGCTAAATGCTAATGAACCCTCATGCAATGTTTAAATATAAAGATACTTTGTATAATGTTTAATACAGATCAGCTAAATGGAGACAACATTAATATGTCTGGATATATAATGCATTGAGATATTTAAGTATTTCCTTCTAGATTTTCAAACATGCAATATCTTTCTATTGTCCATGACCATGGTATTATACAGTAATAAAACACTTGCTATTGTTTCCTTGTTTCTTGCTATTCATTCATCAAACACTTGCCCACACCACCTTGCTCTTCCTTCCTCCTCACCATTTCCAGTAATCACTTGGAACAGTCTGAAATCACCTTTTTTCATGATACAGATGAATAAGATTATCAGAAAATTGCTTTTTTGAATTTGGCTTATTTCTTTTCATATGAGAATCTTCGATTTTTCTCTGACATCTTGAAACAATTTAATTCTTGGATACGGCTAAAAAGATGTGTATCACATTCCTCAGTTATTCCTTCAGTTAAGGAGAGATTAACATACTCTTACCCTGTCCCCTTGAGTACTGTAAATTACTCATCTCTCCCTTGGAATGAGAATTACAAAAAGCGAGACAAAACTAAATAACTTAGTGTGAAACAAGTAAAAGTCACTTCAATGTATTGAAATGAATTCTTCTACGCGACATTCATGATGAAATTATTTATTATTGACACAGTTCTTAAGGAAAAAAAGAAACTTGACAGTCAATTTGGATTTTTCTATAATTTTCATATATGAAAATACAAGTGATTTTTCCATTCTATTATCTCAATGAAAAGAGAACTTTCCAATTTGCAAAGTACTTGGAAAATTTGAAACTTAGTCTGAAAATGTTCATAACAAGCTGATTTTTATATTTTGGAAATGTCAAAAATTTCTGAAATATTAATTAGGATGACAAATACAAAAAGTAAATTATGTTGAAAAATTCAAGACATTAAATTATAACCCAATGCATAATTTATAAATATATAAAATACATTGGAATGGAGTGCAGAGCATTTCAGGGCAAATATCTTTAAAATGTCAGAAACTGTTTTATAATTTTCTGCACTGTAGAACATTAGAATTGTTTTGCTTTTTATTTAACTGTGGGTGGATTCCAACTGTTCAGGGTACTGCTCTCCAGCCTTCAAAATCCAAAGCTCTAGTATGCATTAATATAGTTCTAATCTACCCTTAATAATGTCCACAGAAGAGGGAATTGTAGTGTTTGTATTTCTGTGACCATCATTTTTTACTTTTCAAAATGTCATCTGGTTCCACCTTCTAAAAGAATAACATGGTAACCTTGTTTTTAAGAGTGAATTATTATTAAGTTCCCTTGTCACATCTCTCTCACTATCATATATATATATATATATGTGTGTGTGTGTGTGTGCGTGTGTGTGTGTGAATGTATATGTGCATATATATACATATGGTTACAGAATATTAAGTAGTTTGATTTACTAACTAAGCTCTTAGTGTTGCAACAAGCATGATAATATGATAGTTCAGGAATCTCTGGTGGACAAGTATTACATCTTTTAATATAATCTCAAGATTAAGATAATTGAGACTCTTTTCAGTCTCTCAAGGAACCACATTTCTGCTCCTCAAACTGGCTGTGCTAATTTATATTACTAACCTTATGTGTGGATCCTTTCTTCACAACTTATAAGCATCTTTAAATATTTTTTCTAATGTTCATTTTTAACTAATGTCTGATATTATCTCCAAGTGGTTAATACATTAAAGAATGAAATACCTAAGAGGCTGATCACAGTTATAATTTCATTGTAACAGCAAGTTAAACTTGTGCCTACATAAAAATACAATGTAATGTGAAAATCCATGTGACTGCTGTTTTGAGGCAGTTCTCAGCCCCCTATGGTTTTTTTCTCTGCAGTCATATATGAAAAGAACAAAGTCTTACATTCAATGTTAAAAAAGAGTTGGGTGTTTTGAATTGTACCTTTACCCTGAGATTGGTGAGGCCAAGAAAATAGGATTATAATTCTAAAAACAGTGTGGGCTACATAGTGAGTTCATGGAAAGAGTGGGAGACAAACTAACTAGAATATCTCTCGATCAAACAAGAAAGCTACTAAGATTTTCTTGAGTGTGTTATGAGAATGTCACAAACGCCTTCGTGGGAGCTATCACACTCATTTTGACATGTTGGCAAATGTGTACCCAGTGCAGCAGCTCATTCACATTAAGAATTGATTCAAACAAATACATTCCTCTAACATTGCCAACCCTGCATGTTAATTTGACCTGGACGGAGACACAAATCATTATTTGCTCTGAAGGTAGGCTAAATCCTGTTTTCTTTCTCAATTCCAACATGAATACAAAGGAGCGCTGGTGCTTAACTCTTCAAGGGGAAACCACTGCCCAGATTTCTTGATCAGCTTCATGGTACAATTCTTTTCATTTTATGTAAGCTACTGCACTTTCTCCTGAGTATGCAGGAATTTCTGGATAACAAATCACACAAACAAAGTCTTTGGTGGGACCCCAGAATACAAATTTATTCCTGATACCAGTTTTCCAAATGTTATTCAATAGCATATAGCACATTATAGAATTTGCATGTTTTGTCTTATTTGTCTTCCCTACTCAGTTTGAAAGCTTCAAAAGAAAAAGTTCCTATTTTTGGTTCCTTACTTTACATTTCTCAACGCCTAATATCTTGAATAATGTTTGGCAGATAGTCTTCATTTGTTTGAAAAGCAGTTAAACGACTAAGTAGATGATGAGATTGTATGTCTGCAGAGATGATAGACTGTCCGTTTACCTTAGCGTTGCAAATTCGAAATTTACAATGATACTGATTCTTTAACATGTACTAGCCATGCTTTCAGAGACTACCCATTGTGGCATAATAAACTGAGATAGCATCAAATGATCCTTTCTCATTTTATCGATTATTACATCCTCCTTTTACATGGGATAGCAAATACTCTAAGATGATAGAGGAAATGATACTGTAATCACAATTCTTTTTTTTATTTTTTTATTAATTTATAAAAGTTTCCACTTCCGCTCCTTCTCCCAATACCCTCCCATTTCCCCACTCCCTCTCCTCCTCCCTCTCCAGTCCTAAGAGCAGTCAGTGTTTCCTTGCCTGTGGGAAGTTCAAGTTCCTCCCCCCTCCCTCCAGGTCTAGGAAGGTGAGCATTCAAACTGACTAGGATCCCAAAAATCCAGAACATGCAGAGGAATCAAGTCCCAGTGCCATTATCAATGGCTTCTCAGACAGTCCCCTTGCCAGCCACATTCAGAGAATCCGTTTTGATCATGTGCTGGTTCAGTCCCAGTCCAACTGGCCTTGGTGAACTCTCATTAGATCAGTCCCCTTGTATCAGTGGGTGAACGCACTCCTCAAAGTCCTGCCTTTCTTGTTCATGTTCTCCCTCCTTCTGCTCCTCATTTGGACCTTGGGGGCTCAGTCCAGTGCTCCAATCTCTGTCTCTGTCTCTGTCTCAATCTCCATTCATCATCGGGTGAAGGTTCCCTCTGATCCTGCCTTCCTTGCTCACGTTCTCCCTCCTTCTGCTTCTCATTGGGACCTAGGGATTTAAGTCCGGTGTTCCAATGTGGGTCTCTGTCTCCATCCATCGCCAGAGGAAGGTTCTATGGTGATATACAAAATATTCATCAGTATGGTTACGGGCCAAGGCCAGTTCAGGCACCCTCTCTTCTGTCCAGAGAACAATCTGGGGATCTCTCCTTGGATCAAGTCTCTTGTCAACCCTAAAATGGCTCCCTTAGTTGAGATATATACTTCGCTGCTTTCATATCCATCCTTCCTCCCTCCTCCCCTTCCCAATACCCCAAGCTTTCCCCAATCCTCCCCTACTCCCTTCTCTATAACCCTCTCCCCTTTCATCTACTCCCGCCCACGTGCACCCAATGTTGCCTGGCACTCTTGTCTACTTCCAATATCCAGAAGGAAAACTACATGATTTTCTTCAGGTTCACCTTCTTATTTAGATTCTCTACGATCATGAATAATAGGCGCAAAGACCTTTAATTATGGATAGAATTCACTTATGAGTGAGTACATAGCATATTCCTCTTTTTGGGTCTGGGTTATCTCACTCAGTAAAGCGTTTTCTATTTCCATCCATTTGCATGCAAAATTCAAGATGTCATTGTTTTTTACCGCTGAATAAAACTCTAATGTATATATGTTCCACACCTTCTTTAACCATTCTTCTATT